GTTTCTACGAATGAATAGCTAGCGTTGTTTAAAAAAAATATATTATATGTAGTTGTCTTAAATTCAACTTTAATATTAAATGATTAAAGTTTTACTGATTTTACTATTTATTGATTTCTAATATTGCTCTAGGTATCCTGGATTAGAAGACAAGATCTTCACGTGCTGACAGTTGGACGCTACACATATTCCAGTGACGAGAGGTTTCAAATGATACACCCGGAAGATTCAGACGACTGGACTCTGCAGGTCAAGTATCCTCAGCGAGAGGACACTGGTCTATATGAATGTCAAGTCAGTACTGTTCCGAAAATGAGCAAGTTTATTACACTGAATGTGTTAGGTAAGATTCAAAATTTTTATTGGTTTCGACGGCCTCATGATATAAAAACATGTAAATCAATATGGCGGTTCAATCCTGTACCGGCCTTGTCTAGATTCTGACAGCTATAGAAAGTTAATATTTGAAATAAATCACTCTTTCGTCTACTATACAACATTACTATATAATTATGAATCCAATAATGTTTAGAAAATTAACTGATATGTTACACTAAGCCTTATAAAAGAAGGATAAATATTTAAGGTTTTGATATTGAATCCTTCACAATTTGTTGAATGTTTCATCAATTCCAAATAGCATTATGGTTATTTCATTTGCCGTTAGATGGCAGCAAAGCTGATTTAGGTGATCGATCAAAACACTAGACATACACAAATATTGATAAATCTAGTTATCACAAAACAAATTAAGATTGCTCTTTTAACATAAACAAAACTAAAAATAAACATAATTTAAATACCAAAAAGGAAAACATAACTTTAAGGTGTATGGACATTTTTCATTGATATTTGTAGTAGAAAATGTTCCGTATCAGTCAAAGATTGTATAGTATATTAACTAACGAATATCCCATCTAAACTTAACATGACACGAAAATACGTTTTAATCTCTAGTCTGTTTTGGGCTATTGCCACACCTAAACACGTAATATATTTGGGAAAACCAAATCAACAATATTTTTAAAAGTAAACGCTTCAAACTATTAGAGCTACTTATGTTACTCTAACTTATGTTACTCTTCATCTGTCTCACAAATCATTGTTCGATTCCCGCGATGGACAAGAGAACACATAGCCCACTGTGTAGCTCTGAACTTAACCCCCCTTCCCCAGGGCCCGGCATGGCCAGGTGGTTAGGGAGCTCGACTCGCAATCTGCGGGTCGCGGGTTCGAATCCCAGTCCCACCAAACATGCTCGCCCTTTCAGCCGTGGGGGCGTTATAATGCGACGGTCAATCCCACTATTCGTTAGTAAAAGAGTAGCCCAAGAGTTGGCGGTAGGTGGTGATGACTAGCTGCCTTCTCTCTAGTCTTACACTGCTAAATTAGGGACGGCTAGCGCAGATAGCCTTCGTGTAGCTTTGCGCGAAATTCCAAACAAACATACAAACCCTTCCCCAGCAACCAACATTATTTTTTCTAACACAACTTTAGACACCGACGCAAATGTTGTCATGTTCAAG